TCTACCCACCAGGGTATTGAAGCAGATACTGAGACTCAGAGCCAAACTTTGGGCAGAGTGCAGGGAATCTTATGAAAGAAGGGGGAGATAGAAAAACCTGGAGGGGACAAGAGCTCCACAAGGAGAGCAACAGAACCAAAAAATCTGAGCCCAGGGGTCTTTTTTGAGACTGATACTCCAACCAAGAACCATTCATGGAGATAACCTAGCACCCCTGCATGATGTAGCTAGCCCATGGCAGTTCAGTGTTCAAGTGGGTTCCCTAGTAATGGTAACAGGGACTATCTCTGACATGAACTCAGTGGCTGGCTCTTTGATCACCTTCCCCTTAAAGGGGTCGGGGGCCAGCATTACCACTCCACGAGGAAGACAGTGCAGACAGTCTCATCAGGACAGGCTAGGGTCAGGTGAAAGGAGAGGAGGAGGACCTCCCCTATCAGCGGACTGGAGGAGAAGCAGAAGAAGAGAAGAGAGAGGAAGGGCAGGATTAGGAGGGGCCTAGGGAATGGGCTACAGCTGGGATATAAAGTGAATAAATTGTAATAAATAAAAACAAAATAAAATGTTGGGGGAAAAAATTTTCTATAAGTCAATGAAAATGAAGGTACAACATACCCAAACTTATGGGACACATGAAAGCAGTGCTAAGAGGAAAGTTCATAACACTAAGTGCCTTCATTTAAAAAAAAAATGGAGAGTTCTTATACTAACAATTTAAAAGCAAATCTAAAAGCTCTGGAACAAAAAGAAGCAAACACACCAATGAGGAGTAGACAGCAAGAAATAATCAAACTCAGGGCTGAAATCAATAACTTAGAAACATAGAGAACAATACAAAGAATCAATGAAACCAAGAGCCAGTTTTTTGAGAAAATCAACAAGATAAACAAAGCCCTAGCCAAACTGACTAAAAGGTAGAGAGACAATATCCAAATTAACAAAATCAGAAATGAAAGGGGGGATATAACAACAGATCCTGAGGAAATCCAAATCATTACTTCAAAAGCCTGTATTGCACAAAATTGGAAGATCTAAAGGAAGTGGATGATTGTCTTGAAAGATGTCACTTACCAAAGCTAAATCAAGACCAGGGAAACAGTTTAAATAGTCCTATACTCCTAAGGAAACAGAAGCAGTTATTAAAATTCTCCCTTCCAAAAAAAAGCCCAGTAACAGATGGTTTTAGGACAGAATTCTACCAGACTTTCAAAGAAGAGCTAACACCAGTACTGCTCAAACTATTTCACAAAACAGAAACAGAAGGAACATTATCAAACTCAATCTGTGAGGCCACAGTTACCCTGATACCTAAACCACACTAAGACTCAACAAAGAAAGAGAATTTCAGACCAATTTCCCTTATGAACATTGATACAAAAATACTCAATAAAATATTCTCAAACTGAATCCAAGAACACATCAAAGATATCATCCACCATGACCAAGTAGACCTCATCTGAGGCATACAACCATAAACAAACTAAAAGAAGAAAATCACATGATTATCTCATTAGATGTCGAGAAAGCATTTGATAAAATCCAACACCCCTTCATGATAAAAATCTTGGAAAAATCAGGGATACAGGCACATACCTAAACGTAAGAAAGACAATAAGCAACATCAAATTTAATGGAGAGAAACTTAAAGCAATTCCACTGAAATCAGGGACAAAGCTGTGCACTCTCTCCATATCTCTTCAACTTGAAGTCTTAGCCAAAGCAATAAAACAACTAAAAGAGATCAATCAAGGGGACACAAATTGGAAAGAAAGAGGACACAGTATCACTATTTGCAGATATATGATAGTATACCTAAGTGACTCCAAAAACTCTACCAGAGAATTCCTACAGCTGATGAGCATCTTCAGCAAAGTGGCTGGATACAAAGTTAACTCAAAAAAATCAGTATCCCTCCTGTATACAAACGACAAAGGGGCTGAGAAAGAAATTAGGGAAACAATACCCTTCACAATAAGCACAAGTCATACAAAGTATCTTGGTGTAATTCTAATAAAGCAAATCAAAGGCCTGTATGGCAAGAACTTCAAGTCTCTGAAAAAAAGAAATTGAAGAAGATATCAGAAAACAGAAAGATCCCCCATGCTCATGGATCGGTAGGATTAACATAGTAAAAATGGCCATCCAAGCAAAAGCAATCTACAGATTCAGTGCAATTCCCATCAAATTTTCAGCACAATTTTTAATAGACCTTTAAAGAACCATTCTCAACTTCATATAAAAAAAAATAAAAAAACAAAATAGCTAAAACAATCCTATATAATAAAAAATCTTTTGGAAGTATCCCTGATTTCAAGCTATACTGTAGAGCAATAGTAATAAAAACTGCATAGTTTCTATGCGTGGTCCTGGCATTGAAACAGACTAGTTGATCAATGAAATCAAATTGAAGATCCAGAAATGAACCCACACAGTGATGGACACTGATTTTTAACAAAGAAGCCAAAACCATACAATAAAAAAGACAGCATCTTCAACAAATGGTGCTGATCTAGCTGGATGTCTACATGTAGAAAAAAGCAAATAGATCTGTATCTATCAGTCTGCACAAAACCCAAATCCAAGTGAATCAAAGGCCCCAATAAAACCATAAACAATAAATCTGTTAGAGTAGAAAGTGGGTAAGAGCCTTGAACTCACTGGCACAGAGGATAACTTTCTGAACAGAACACCAACAGCTCAGGCTCTAAGACCTACAGTTAATAATAAATGGGACCTCATGAAATTGAAAAGCTTCTGTAAGGCAAAAGACTCTGTCAGTAGAACAAAACAGCAGCCTACAGAATGGGAAAAGATCTTTACCAACCCTGTATTGGACAAAGTGCTAATACATAAAATATACAAAGAACTCAAGAAATTAAACACCAGCGAACAAAATAATCTAATTTTAAAATGGGGTACAGAGCTAAACAGAGAATTCTCAAAAGAGGAATAATGGATGGGCAAGAAGCACTTAAAGAAATGCTCAATGTTCTTAGTCATCAGGGAAATGCAAATCAAAATGACTCTGAGAGTCCATCTTACACCCATTAGGATGGCTAAATCAAAAACTCAAGTGACAGCACATGCTGGTGAGGATGTGGAGAAAGGGAACCCTCCTCCATTGCTGGTGGGAGTGCAAACTTGTATAACTACTCTGGAAATGAATCTAGCACTATCTCAGAAAATTGGGGGTAGTTCTAACTCAAGAATCAGCTATACCACTCCTGGGCATATATCCAAAAGATTCTCCACCATACAACAAGGACACTTGCTCAACTATGTTCATAGAAGCTTTATTTGTTAGCCAAAAACTGAAAACAACCTAGATGCCCCTCAACCAAAGACTGGATTAAAAATTTGTGGTACATTTACACAATGGAATGCTACTCAGCAATTAGATTCAAGGAAATCAAGAAATTTGCAGGCAAATGGATGAGACTAGAAAAGAACATCCTGAGTGAGGTAACCCAGAAGCAGAAAGACATACACGGTATATACTCACTTGTAAGTGGATTTTAGCCATATATATTGTACAGGTAACCATACTACAGTTCACAGACCCAAAGAAGATAAGTAACAAAGAGGACACGAGTGAGGATCCTTAATTCCCACTCAGAAGTGGAAATAGAATAGACAGCAAAAGTGGTTGAAGAGAAAGAACAGGGTAAGAGATGGAGCACTAAGAGAAATGAGGCTCCATATCAGACCTCGAGATCAGGGAGAGTAGAGGGAAGAGAGAGCACTTGCAGAGAGAAGAGAAACCTCGGGAGGGGACTTGTCTGTGACAAGCTGGAAACCTATGACAGGGTGGGCTCCTAAGAGGATATGAGGGTGACTCTAGCTGAGACTCCTAATTACAGAGGTCATGGAGACTGAAGAGGCCCCTCTCTAACTAGAGATGACTTCTGGTGGAGGGAAGGAAACACCAACCCACCCACAAGAACTTCAACACAAAATCTACCCTGCCTACAAGATGTTCAGTGACAAAAATAGAGCAGAGATTAGGGGACTGTCCAACCAATGCCTGGCCCAACCTGAGACTCACCCCAGGGGAGACAACCAACCCCTGACATGATTAACAATGTTCTGCTTGCTTGCAGAGGGGAGCCAAGCATAGCTGTCCTCTGAGTGGCTCCACCCAGCACCTGATGGAAACAGACGCAGGGACCGACCATCAATCATTGGGTGAGCAAAGGAAGCCTCGTGGAAGAGTTGGGGGAAGGATAGAAGGACCCAGAGGGGACAGGAGCTCCACAACAATACCAACAGAGACAACTAACCAGGGTCCAGGAGTGGCTGTGGAGACTGAAGCACCAACCAAGGACCATGCATGGACTGGACCTAGGCCCCTGCCACAGATGTAGCCAATGGGCAGCTCAATCTTTGTACAAGTTCCCTAGTAAGGGTAACGTGGGCTGACTCTGACATCAACTCTGTTGCCTGCTTTTTGATCACTTTCTTCTGGAGAGGCTACCTTCTCAGGCCACAGGGAAAGGATGTGTTCAGTCCTGATGCAACTTGATATTCTGGGGTGAGGGGGACGCCCCTTCTCTGAGGAGTAGGGGAAGAGGGATATGGAAAACAGAGAGCGAGGGTGGACCAGGAGGAGAGGAGGGAGGGGGCTACCACCAGGATGTAAAATGAATAAATAAAAACTAAAATTTAAAAATTGTAATAATAATAATTTTTAAAAGACTTAAGAATATGGTTGAAACAGGACTGTTATCAGAAGAGAGGCTTCACGGCAGCTGGTGACATGTGCACACAAATCTCTAAAGCCCATTCTTGAGGGAACTGAAGACCAGAGGGGTTACATTGCTTGCCTGGTTGCACAGTAATTTCAGAGCACAAAGGAAATGTCCAGGGGACATACCTCCCATTGCTTCTGTCTGTAACTCAGGCCCACAAAGGCTCATCAGCTGGGACATGGGAGCTCTTAAAACAAAACAAAACAAAAAACATCTTTCAGACTAATCATTTGTTCTCTTCAGCTAACTTACCATTAAGACTTTGTCCCGGTGTGGGGAGTGTGGACATCACCCATCCATGTATGCCGCTGAAGCCTGTGAAGAGAGAGGGAGGAAAAGGCATGAACTGTTGAAAAGTTGTTTCTGCTTAACCAACAAAAGTAACCTCAGCTTTGCCTGACGTGAACCCATTAGACAAAGCTGGATGGGAACCCCAGCTGAGGAAGCCTGGTCATTTTGCATAATCTTTCACAGAGTGCTCCAGATTTCCACTCTCTTTGTTTTCTTGGGGATTTTTACGGGGTGCGGTGTCCGCAGAAGCTAGAATGATCCCCTGGAACTGAGGTTATAGCCGGTTGTGAGCGGCCCGTGGGTGCTGGGAACCCAGATCCTCTGCGAGAACAGCTGGCGCCCAGAGCTGTGGAGGCCTCTCTCCAGCCCTACATTTTGATGGTGTTGCTAGTGGAGGTGGTTTGCATATTTGTGAGTTTCTGACTTGTGTGCTCTATACTGTGTCCATGCTCCCTGTCATGGTCTGCTTTTATCCTCCCTCCCACACCTGTTTACCCCTCTCCTTACCAACTAACCCTGTCCCTATTTTCAAGTCTCTTTTTGTGTATGAGTCTTGTTTTGCTTTTAACGCCTGTTTCCCCTTAAAGATTTGTCATTTCTTTGTGTGAGAATATTTAAAATCCTCTCCTGCGGTTGTTTTTTTGTTTTTGTTTTGTTTTGTTTTGTTTTAAACTTTTTGAGACTTGCGTACAGGGCAGGAATTGCACACAGCAGCTGATGGAGAGACAATGGAAGAGTGTTACTTACTGGCTTGTTCCCATGGCTTGCTCAGCCTGCTTTCTTATAGAACCCAGGACAACCAACCCAGGGAGGGTACCGCCCACAATGGGCTGGGCTCTCCCCATCAATTACTGGCAGAGAAAATGTCACATAGCTGGATCTTATGGAGGCATTTTCTCAACTGAGGCTCCTACCTCTCTGATGACTTTAGCTTGTGTCAAGTTGACACACAAAACCAGCCAGTACAGATCTAACTGCAGGCAAGCATACGGAGCATTTTCTTAATTAGTAATCAGTGGGGGAGGGTCCAGCCATTGTGGACAATGCTATCCCTGGGTTGGTGGTCCTGGGTTCTATAAGAAAATTGGCTGAGCAAGCCAGTTACCAGCACTCTCCATGGCCTCTGCATCAGCTCCTCCCTCCAGGTTCTTTCTTGAGTTCCTGCCTTGGCTTCCTTCACTGATGAACTATGATGCTTTTGGCCATGGTATTTCTTTGTTATTTTATTTATTTATTTTATTTTATTAATTACACTTTATTCACTTTGTAGGTCATGGTATTTCATGATGACAATAGTAACCCTAACTAAATTAATATACAATCTTAAAATTACCCATCCTGCTCTCCGATGAAGTTGCGATCCCACAGTGACCAGTTTGATCCCATGAGATACAGAAGATAGTTCTGCACCCCATCTTCTGCAATAGCTCCTGAGCCAGAGTCAGGAGTTGGGGAAGACTGGGGAGAAGCCAGGTCTTCTAAGCATGACTGCACTCAAGGATTCACAGAAGTTGTGGTTGCCTATGTGAACCCTGCACAGGGTCAAGCCGGCCTACAGTCTAGTCTGGCCCCATGCCCAGCTACAGATCCACTGAGAGTTGATGGCTGTCAGCAGGAGAGTCCTCTTGCTTCTGGAATGCGCCAGTGGATGACCCTATACACACATGCATCTAGGAAGAACTTACTAGTGTCCGTGGATTATTTTTTAAGTAGAGCACGGCATTAGGGATGGCCACAGCAAGAAGGGATCTTAGAGAAGTTATGAAGTAGGATGGGGTTGCACATGATCAAAATTACTGCGTATATGCATGAAATCCTCAAAGAACAGATTAAAATATATTTAAGTAAAAAACACAATGAAATTTTAAGTTGGTTCTCGAGAAGAAGATATTAAAATTATTGTGCTTTTGTGTTTAAGACACATCTGCATCTAACATATATAAACACAGAGGCTATCTGTTTGCTGTGGTTTGGGTGTGAAATGTAACCCACAAAATCATATGTTTAACCTCTTGGTCACCAGAGAGCGGTGCTGTCTGGAGAGGTCTAGAGATGAGGCTTTGCAAGGAGGCCTGAAGATTTGTATCACAGCCCCACTTCTTAGCTCTCTGCTTCACGGGCTAGCAAGAAGAAAGCAGTTTCAGCCATGAACTCTTCCAAGCCTTCCCCAATAAAGTATGAGGCAAAATAGATCCTTCTTCTTTCAAGTTGCCTCAGAGTTTATGTAGTCACCACCATCTTAACTACCTGTGCAGTCACCATCATCATTGATGTGTACGTAGTCACCACCATAATTGATATGTGGGTACTCACTACCATCATCATCGACACCCATGTAGTCACTGCCATCCTTTTCACCTGGGCAGTCATGCCCATCACCCACTGTACAGTCACCACCTGTGTAGTGACTGTGATCACCTTCATGCTTCATCACTCTCATCCATGTCATCATCATCATAAATCTTTTTTTTTTTTGACATAGACTCTCATGTAGTCCAGGCTGGTCTCAAACTCACTATGTAGTCAAAGATTACCTTCACCCTTTCATTCTCCTCCCTCTACCTACCCGTGCTGAAATTATAGATATGTTCCAATACACCTGGCTCATGCAGTGCTGGGGAGGAAACCCACATCTCTATGAATGCTATGAAAGAACCCTGTCAACTGACATACATCAGTTGGTAGATAGATAGATAGATAGATAGATAGATAGATAGATAGATAGATAGATAATAGATATTAAGACATGAAAGATAGAGTGATAGATGATAGGTAGATAACTGATAGATTATAGACAGATTGGAAAGATAGATAGATAGATAGATAGATAGATAGATAGATAGATAGATAGA